AGCCTCCCCGGGCAACACCCAGGCGCCTGCAAAATCCCGGTGCGCCCGTTTTGTGGGGCTGCGGCCGTTCAGAGCACTGGGGATGTCCCTTCGCCCGGGGTCCGGGCTGGCAGGGCGACAAGCTCCGTCTGGAAAACAAAACAACCAGAAAGCCGTTCTCCTCTCCGCCCTGAACTCTCTGTGTGGATAAACCACTTGCTCTGGGTAGCGCTCACGGCTGTCGCTTTAGGTAACTTTTCCTTAGCAGAGAGATGAGCTGACCACGATGCGGAGTTTTCCTTTATGAGCCCCTCGCTCAGCCTGCGCCTCTGGCTACCGAAGCAGCCCTGTCTGGCCACGGGAGCCATCGGGTCAAAGGGACTCCGGGGTGCCTGGGCGTTTCTGAAAGACCCTGACGTAGTCAGTGGTGGGGAGGTAATAGCGGAGCGGTGTGTGCACGTGTGTAAAAATGCAGTGGCCCTCCTAGTACACACTGTGAAGCGAGATGGCTGCCCACGAGCTTTGGTCACCAGCCCCCTTTCTCACCGTGCTTAGCGTGTCTGGTGCCCGCACTCATTCATGACCTGCTCCAGCTCTGTGGTGTTGTCCTGCTGTGGTCAATTGCTTGTTTAAATTTGCTTCAAGTGGGACCTTGTTCCCCTCCTTACCTGTGGATATATGTAATGTATGGCTTATTTCCTTCCCAGGAGCTGTGTTCCAGCCCCCTGTTCATAGCCGGTGGAGCCACTCGCACAGACATCTGCCAAGGGGCCTTAGGTAAGGTGGAGGCAGAAAGCTGAGTTTTCCATGCCGGTGCTGCCCAGGGCACCACGGTCCCCTGCTGCACCATCTGCATTTATACTAGGCTGTAACTCACTCTGCAAACACATCCTCTTGCATCCTACCATCTCTCTTCGTATCAATCCAGATCTTTCTTGCCTTTCGTCGACAGCTGCAGGTAGGCTCCATGTGTGTTTGGCCACTGAGCACAGCCTTGCTGTGTGCACCGAGCAGGGGTGACACAGGCTGGTTTCCTGATGGCTTTTCTGATCACTACCAGTTCCTTTCATGTCCGCACCTGTGTACCTGAGAGCGGCCTGACTAATTTCTGCTACTAGGATTCTGCTCAGAAGAGCAGTTGTGTGTGTAGCGGGGTATTTCTTTCCCCAGTGGGAGAGAGTGCTGCCGAGCAAGAGAGATCCCATGAAACCTGGAAGGATGCAGTACGGAGAAAACAAATTATATAGAAGGTTTCCCAGCCGCTTGCCAGCTTTGGAGGAAAACAAAACTGGGGTATTTCAGGAGGGATGGGCCAGCCTGTGAGCCTTCTGCTTTTGCCGTGGTTGCCACTCAGTTGGCATCAATGGGTCAGCCATTCTGGAAGAGCCCCGGGAGCTGCAGGGAAGCCCTGGGGGGCTGCACCCAGGGGACAGTGGGGAGCGAGTGGCTTAACCTGGCTGTGCGTCCACAGCTATCCTGGTCTCGAAGCCTCTCTCCTACCTTGCCCACCAGAAGGGGTTTTAGGTGAGCGCCTCCGTGCCTCTCCTCCCAGAAGGCAGCGTGGAGGCTGGCGAGGAGGATAGCTGCAGGGATGCGAGAGGAAGCTGAAGTGGAAGCCGTGAGGCTCCTATTTATTCCATAACTGTAGGAAGAGGGTTTTAGATTCAACTGATAGCATGGTTTGAGGGAGAGCTCTAGGTGTAGGGATGCTGTGTGTTGTGTTTTCGCAGAGGGGTTGGCAAAGGGATGAAGTTCTGTTTGGTTTTCATCAGTGTAATATTAGCCACGTTCGGCTTCTTAGTTTCTAGTCCCGCTGCTGCTATTTGTTTTCAAAATATATATATATATGTCCAAAAATATAAGTGATAGGGAAGCTTATTTTGTGCTTATGTTTTCTTTCAGAAGTTATTCAGGTTGGTGCTTTAGCAACTAGATACAATTTGTGTAAAAAAACCCCTGACAATAAAAAATACATGGATTGTGAATTTAGTTCTCCTCATACCCCCAATATCATCTGTGACGTGGATTAGGCTCTGTTGTATAATCAGTGAAGTCCTTGGCATGTCACCACCTTCCTTCGTGTTCTCTCTCTGCCCAACGTCATGTCTCCCACCATGACTACTTTGGCATAAAGTGTGTCCCAGTGCTTAACACACGTGCCAAACATCTATCCTCTTTTTTTTTAATGTGAAACTTAACAGTTAAGGAGTTGTTCAACTTGAAATTACATTTTATTGTAATGCCATTTCAACAGCTGACACTTTGCAGAGATGCTCCTTTCTGAAGGCACTTAGTTGCTTTCTGCCTTCTGCAGGCTTCCAGCTTTCCTCTCCAGATGTTGTGGCAGCAAAAGCACTGTGATGAAAGATTTGTAACTTAGTTTTCAAATTATGGAGCTGCTGTTCCTAATGCCAAACCTTGTTTTAAATGGATGAAAGCATTTGTTGTCTTAACGGTCTTTGGACCAGTCAGATGCTCTCATGAGGTTATAGTGTGCCACCAAAGCTGGTACTGACTCACAGGTATTATTTTACCTCTTGAAACAATATTTGAATAGGAGGTTGCTAGTGTTCATGTTTATATTACTGTTTTCACCATGACTAACTACTGTTATGACTCACCCCACTATCTTCTTATGAATCTGGGCAGGATTTTGGTATTGTGTGACAGTTTAGTGGTTGATTAAAAATTATATGCTATTGATCTTTTCTCTGCATAGCTGTTGACTTACTAAGAGCCTGTATAGAATCTCTGCTTTTTCACACAGGCTAGCAGATGTGCTGTAGAAAGGCTTTTTTTTTTTTTTTTTTGCCGCTGCCTGGTCTGACACCAGTGTTTGTATCGATATATTTGCTTAAGCTTCCATTTACTTGAACTTTGTGTGCTGACTGATGTCCCATCACATTTTAGGATGTCACAAAGATTGCACTGGAAGATGTCAGGCGCTCTTGGAAACCTGTACTTTTTATTATGCTGCTTTTTTCTGTAGGAAGCTTTTGTAGCCTATGTATCACCCAAAAGCTTGATCACAAAGCAAAAGACCTGTGCCCACGTAGAGTTTCATCACTGTTGCTAAGCCATTCAGAACATCTTGGAGTACCGCAGGGACAGATGAGGCATCCAAAGCCACGCACCCATCACTGCTGCAACAGGCTTCTTGGCAGGGGATGTGTAACCGAACAGCTCGGCTAATGAGCGGTGGTACAGATGTTCCTTTTAGCGCAAGAGTCTTTGATCTGTGGGCCAGATGCAGCCTATACATTTGTTTCATTGTTTTTGACCTGGACTATACGACACTGCAATGCATAAAAGGCATAGCTGATCATCAATGCAGAAAAGGTTGTCCCTCAAGGTGGCAGTTCATTAAGTTCTCCAGACACCCAAGTTCTGCCCCTTGGGCTTTGGATTATCCTTTATTCTGGTTTTGTTGCTTTTTAGAAGAAACTTTTAAAGGCGAGTATTTGGAGTTAGTTTTGCAGTATCAGATCTGAAGTCAGTGATGGTATTTGGCTAAGAATGGCAGCACTTGGGATGTGGTGACTCATTACAAGCGGAGGGGAGGAACCAAAGCCACTGCGGAGAGGAAGCTTATTCACCCTTAACCGCCTTCTTTGGAGGGGATGTCACCATGGTATCACAACACTGGGGCGTACACAGCGCAGTATCTCTCGTCTGCTGTTTAGACACAGGTGTCTCCTCCTTAAATAAATATGTGCGGAAAAATAATGAATTGGGTAGGATTAATTTAGAAAATGAGATGCATGGTTTTCCCACGCTGGCAACCGCTGTAAGTGGGTGGCCACAGCCTTATGTTTCTAACCAGAAAACTTCCTGGAGTCCCATGGTATTAATATAAATATGTTCAGCTGTTGATGTTGCTAATCTATAGCTATGAGTGTTTTAAAATAATGACGTGTCTGTGATTGGCTGAAGGTACATTTTCCCTGTGACCCCATACTCTTACATGGGCTGTGCAGTGACCAGAGGAGCTGCCTTTCGCTTATACCCCTCCAGGCACTTCATGGGGATGCTTTGCTTGTCTTTGCTCTCCAGAATAGCCAATTTTAAGCCCTTATGGCTATTTGTGCTTGTCTTGCAATTGTATTTTTTGTAACGTTCTTGTTTGTAGCTGGAGATTAGGTAAATCCAGAGATGGATGTATAGAAATAAGAAATAAAACACTGAAAGCAGCAAAAAGGAAGCATGGCAGGAAAAAAATAGTACTTCTTGTTAATATAAATAAACTCACAGCCTGATAATATTCCCTTTTTTTTTTTTAAAACCTTGTTCTTCCTATTGTATTGTGCATTTACAAAAATTCTCCATGATTAACCTAGCCTTGCTAACACGCCTTTCAAATTCTTCATACAAGTAACCTGTCTGTTAGCCTCCTCTTGAACTTTCCTTCTCTATCAAAGGAAAGTCGCTGTCAAGAGCTTTACAAAAGTACCAGTTCTTATACTTATTTGGTAAAGACCCTGCTCAGTTTTACTTAGCGTAGGCTAAAACTCCAGGTATTGTCACAAGATCTGTTCTCATCCAGGCTTTGAATTATCAGGTCTACTTTCAGTGATGACTGTTCTGAAAGGGAGAGATGATATCCTGACTGTTGAGCACTTTTAAATGTGGAAACCAAAGGGTGGTGTGTCTCCCGTATATGCTGCATCTGCCTTTTAACCTCAGGACCTTGCCCAGAGTTGTCCAAGTTAAGATCTATGTTTGTCTGATTCCAAATTCTCCTTAGAAACCAGTATAAAGTTCAAAAGAGAGGTTTTACAGCAAAGTCGCTGTTTCTTTCTCTTCATGTCTGCCTTGATGGGACAGCTAGAAAGTAAAGGAAATTCTTTATAAACTCTGCTTATGGGCTTAGAGGTCCTCTAGGGGCAGTTTCGCCTCCCTGAACTTCAGTGTTTCTTGTCTACAGAGGAAACTTGGCTCAAAGATGTATTATAGCATTAAAGGGTGTACGCTCTTAATCTAGATGCCTGACCAGCTTCATGACCAAGGCTTCCTGGCTACTGTGGTGGAGTTTTTCACTTATTCTTTCTGTGCTGCTGTCTGCCTGCCCAGCCTCTGCCTTGTTTATGGAATAGAAATGCTAATATTTCTTTGGAAGAGTGATGGGACAGCTGCTTTCTGAGTCAGACTTGCTACTACTTTAAACCAGCAGAGTTTTTCTGAGGGTGGTAACACCAATGTCAAATGCTCTGGGGGTCTCTTGGAGCAGTCGAGTTTGCCTGGTTGAGTAAGGCTGTGCAATGTGAACTCTGGTATATGCTGCAGATTGAGCAATTGAGAGGAAAAACACCTCCACAGCTGACTGTGAACAAGGGGCGTAGGACATGCCTCCCGCTGTTTCCACCCACCCGACAGAGCATGCGCAAAGTGCCTTCAGCTCTGCCTGCATCTTTGCTGTAGAGGCCAGGAGCTGCATGGTTTTATCCAGCTGTGCCTTTGGACTAGCACAGTGGTGCTGAGCAGGCTGAGTTGCTCTCTTTCTGGGTTTATCTAATTTAGTCTGAATAAGAGCATGTATTTGCCTAACCATGTGAAGGCATCCTAGTAGTCTAGGTAAGGATACCTGTACTGGCTTTAGTCTAGCTAGCGTAGGTCTAAGATGCAGAGACTCACTTTGCCTCCGAGTTGTGCGTGTCTGTCTGTAAAAGCCTTGCAGAGCCTGGGATGCCTGCTGGGGTTGTTCTGCTGCGGGTTATCAGTTATTTGGCCTCTGTGCTGAGATCAGGCTGGTTAACCTATCAATTTGTGTATTTGTGACTTGTTTCATGCCTGTTCCTAGTGTCCAGGATGCTTTGAGATTGCCTGTTTGTTAGAAGTCTTACTAAGGCTTGCTAACTTTTCCCAGCTGAGAGTGGTTGTTCCTGCTGGAGGGACGGTGGCATAGGAGGGAGAATGGAGATCCCCACTCTTTTCCTTCTTTTAGGATTTTGTTGATCTTAAAAACACCTATGAGCCAGTGGCTTGTGGGTCCTAGAAGAAGAATGTTTGTGGGGGAGGCCGAGGGTTCTCTGCCCACGTGCAGTGCTGGGGTGTTGATGGAGAGTGCTCCGCTCTCCTGTGGTGTGTGCTGGTCCGGTGCGCATGTATATTTACATCCATCCCCTTCTCCCACAATGTCTCTGACATTTGGTATTTCTACTGCCAAATACATAATAACCCACTGCTCTCTTGACCCAGAAGAGCCCTGTCACAAGCTGTTAACTTTCTTTAACTCAGTAAGACAACAGAAAGACTTTTTTTGTCTGAGTTAATGAATCAACTTGCTGTGTGATGAGTGCCAGTGGGAGAAAATCAAGAAGGAAGGAGTGGAGACAGTAAGATACAAATTCAGCCTCACCCCGCAAGAGCTCCCGTCAAAGTGCCAGGGCTGTTCTCTAGAAGGGAGCTGTCCCTTGGATTTGAAGAACCCCAACTCTTGTTCAAAAACTACCTATTTCGGAGACTTAATAAAAACAGGAATCCTCAGTACAGAAGGGATCTCTGGGCAGTCTCTCCCAAGTGCTTACCATGTTTCCAGGTTTATCTGGAGACTCCTTTGGTCAAAAAACACACACAAAAAAAAAAACAACACAAAAATAACTTTATGCAGGCAGGCTGTGTATGGGAGAACACAGATCTAAGCTGAGCTGGAGCTGAAGCTGAAGCCCTGTTGTTGCCTTTTGATCGAAGGGTTTTTTTGCAGAGCCCTTTAGTGTCCTCCTCTGTAAAGGGAATTGATGTGAAGGGTCACTGCTAAAGCCCTCACGTGGCTGGAGGCCAGAGGATCATACTGGTAATTGTAAACTAGCCTATCTAAAAATGTCTCTTAGTATCTTCTGACCCCAATCTCTTTCCCAGCAAGCACATTTGCTGTGCTTGGCGGTGCCTCTGAATGCACCACGGCACCAGAGGGTGCACAGCTCCCAGGGAACGGATGGAAGCTACAGAGGAGGCTGTAAGAAGAGTCGCCATTTTGCAGGGTGAGATGGATGTGCTGTCGCAGAGGAGGGAGGAGAACGTCCTTGTTGCTTCATAATCTGTCACAGGAGAATGACAAGGTGACTTTCCTTTTTGAAAAATTTCTCTGACACAATTTCTCCATTGCAGTACAAGCAGCCAGAGGCAGGGCTGAAGGGAAAGTTTTATGTTCGGTTCTTCCCCTTTAGGTTATGAAATTGTAAAAGCATCTCAGGTTTGGAAATTATTCTGAAATTCCACGTCTTCCACCTCTCATGAGATGTGAAAAGGGCCATGGGACAAATGTAATTCACAGAGCTGATGCTGGGGATCAGCTGTGAAAAGCGATGAGCAGCCTGGAGGGGGTTGCAGGTTGCCTGTGTTCCTCCTTGTGCTGTCTGAGTGGTGCTGGGTTTGAGCTTGAGGGTGACCAAGAGCTGCTTCTCCCCAAGGCTTTCTCCCAGCCGCCCATTTGAACCCCAGCTTCTCACCTGGGAGCTTTTGACCCTTTTCCTATAGGAGAGAGCTGGCTGTATAGAGACTGCTGCTTTGCTGGCCCCTTTGCTAGCAGTTGTGGCTGGTTCATGTTTCTTGAGCCTGCAATCCTAGACATGCTGCAGGACCATTCTGTGGGATCTGATGTGTAATACCGACTTCCCTGTGTTCACAAAGCAAGGCAACAGCAGATCTGGTAAAGGTAACAAGGAGTTTTGTGTTGGGTTGTGGGAGTCAGGGGGGCCAGCTGGATCTTTAAATCTCTAATCACCTTGCTAATGGGCTGCAGAAAACCTGTGGCTGAGCAGCAAGGTAACCACTCTGTTAAAGTAACACTGGTTTCTGAAAATAATTACAAAAAATAGAGGTAATGTTTATATAGTTGTGGTCTTCTGCTCCCTCTGCGTGGTAGGAGATGGTGTGGAAGAATACTGTCCAGACAGCCTGGACCCTGGGACTCTGGCATGCAGGCTCGGTGTATGTTGGCTCCATCCCAGGAAGGGTGAAGAGGTGTGTGGGACTGGGGAACAGTGCCTGCCTTCAGACCTTTCGTGACTCTCTAGTGACTAGCGCCAGAGACGAGATGTGGGACTAAACAGAGAGGCCTCTTAACAAGAGCCTCCAGAGATGTGTAAGGTGAAAGGAGCTCCTATTTGGTAGGAGGCTGGCAAGAGACCTTAAAGGGAGCTCGTCCACAGGGTAGACCTCTGGATGGCAAGTCAACAGGCGTTTATTAAACATGGAGGAGGGAAAGGAGAACAGCCTATGCTTGAGAAAACACTGGTCTTCTGAGGAGAAACTGCACCCCTGAGTACCTGTGCGGACCCACAGGCCCTGCTCTTCGCCTTTTCCCCATGCTGCTTCCTAACCCGTTGTTCTGGTTTCAGCTGGGATAGAGTTAATTTTCTTCCTAGTAGCTGGTGTAGTGCTGTGTTTTGGATTTAGGATGAGAATAATGTCGATAACACACTGATGTTTTAGTTGTTGCTGAGCAGTGCTTACACTAAGTCAAGGATTTTTCAGCTTCTCGTACTGCCCTGCCAGCGAGGAGGCTGGAGGTGTACAAGAAGCTGGGAGGGGACACAGCCAGGACAGCTGACCCAAACTGGCCAAAGGGATATTCCATATCATATGACATCATGCTGAACAAAAAAACTGGGGGGAGTTTGCTGGGGGTCGTGGCTGCTGCTTGGGAACTGGCTGGGCATCGCTCAGCAGGTGGTGAGCAATTGCATTGTGCATCACTTGTTTTGTATATTCTTTTAGCATTATTATTATTATTTTCCCTTCCTTTTCTGTCCTATTAAATTGCCTTTATCTCAACCCACGAGTTTTACCTTTTTTCTGATTTTGTCTCCCGTCCCACTTGGGGGGAGTGAGCAAACGACTGTGTGGTGTTTAGCTGCCGGCCGGGTTAAACCACAACATCTGTAGACACTCAACTGAATATTAAGTTTTCTTTCAAATAGTCCCAGCATGGGTGATAACTGCTGGTAGATCATAAAAAGCCTGCTTTTACTTTTTTTTCTTACTTTGATCTTGAGGAAACGCATGTCTGGAAATGGCGTGTATTTGTGTACATGCATTTGATCTGCCTTACAGGTAAAGTGATGGGAGGGACTATCTCATTGCAGCTGAGGTGATTATTGGTTGTAAACGCACAATCCCTATGCAGTACAAAAACTAAAGAACAAAGTTTCAATAATGAACTTTTTTTTTTGACAGGGGACTGTTGGCTCTTGGCAGCTATTGCCTCTCTCACTCTGAATGAAGAAATTCTGGCCCGTGTCGTTCCCAAAGACCAGAGCTTCCAGGATAAATATGCAGGAATCTTCCACTTCCAGGTAGGTGGAAAACAGCCTTCCCCCAGTGCTGTTGGCCAGGAGCCGGTGTGGCTGGCCATGTCTACATGTGTGATGTTTCCTGGAACACTTTGAGGGACGTCAAAGAGCCAGGTAGAAAAACAGAGACATCCATGAAGGTTGATGGTGGTAGAAGGAAGAAGACCGCTAACCAAAGGGTTGGGAGCAGGGTCTGTCTTTGTGGTCCTTCCTCCATCAGCAGAACCAGCTGAGGACGTGCATCCCTGAACAGGGTGGGCGAAGCTGGCTGTGAGGGGAATTGCTTTTCCTCTAGGAAATTGGTGGTGGCAGATAAACGTCCTGGTGACCTGAGTGCGCAGCATGGGGCAGTGACGAGGTGTTTGTGCTCCCTTTCCAGTTCTGGCAGTACGGGGAGTGGGTGGACGTCGTGGTGGACGACAGGCTGCCCACCAAGAACGGGGAGCTGCTCTTCGTGCACTCGGCGGAGGGCAGTGAGTTCTGGAGCGCGCTGCTGGAGAAGGCCTACGCCAAGTGAGTCGAGGCCAGGCTTTCACCCCACTCAAATCTCCCAATGCCTCTGCTTTCCCATAGCATCCTCAACTGCACGGATACTATGCATTTAAAATGTCAGCCTAATTATTAGCCTTTACATCTTCTGGGGTATCCCACAATGACTACTTCAGTAAAGCTTTGCTGACAGGTGCTTAAGACAAGTAGCCAAAAGTACTGGCTTTGTTGCTAGCCAAGAGAAATAGTCCTTGCATCTCATGGCAAGGCTGTTCCTGTCACCACGGCCTGGGAAGCTCCGTTTCACGTGCTCTACGCACCTGAGAGGGCTTGCAGCTGCCGTGCTTCAGCGTGCAAAGCACTCCAGTCCACATGCCCAGGTTTCTGTTCAAGGTGACGATGCTCAAATCTGAATTTCCAGTTTTGGGATGGTCAGGGAGGAATTCTGTCATCTAACATTACTGTTTTCAATTGACTTAAGAAATTGAGCTAATTTAGATAAGCTGAAAATCAAACCTGTAATTTTTAAGGGGATTGAAAGACTGTGTGTGGAACTAGAGAGGCAAATTGTTGGGTCTTGATTTTTTTTTTTAAATATTATTTTTTCTTCAAATAGTGTCATTTTGTCATTGATATGAACCTGTAACCTGCATACATGGTCGTATAAGATTTTATGCTGGGCTTTCCAAGTACAGAGGTCTAAGAATCAAAGCTGAATGGGGGAGTGTGTTCGTAGCTGCTGTGGTACTGTTGAAATCAGAAATGCTGTGACAGTTGGCACAACCGAGTGTGCCTCTCCAAGAGAAGAGGAGAATAGGGAGCATGGTGGTTGTGTGTCTCTGTCCCCTTGCAGGCTGAATGGATCTTACGAGTCTCTCTCTGGTGGCACCACCACTGAAGGCTTCGAGGACTTCACCGGTGGAATTGCAGAATGGTATGAGCTGCAGAAGGCACCACCCAACCTCTTCAAAATCATCCAGAAGGCACTTCAGAAAGGCTCTCTCCTTGGCTGCTCCATTGACGTGAGTTAGCGGGCATGTTGCTGGACGCTTGGCTCCTGCTGCGCGTGCAGGCAGCTGGGGATGGGCCTGTGCTCCATCCACAGGAGGTGCACAAAGGATGTTGGTGCCCTCTGCCTACGGTTCTCTGCTCTACGCTGTGCCTGGAGAATTTGATCCAGGAGTGTGACACAGGCACGTGCTCTTCTTGGGGCGTTATGTCTGAGAACGGGTTGAAATGTAGACTTCATTAGTTCACGTGTAAAAGCTCATTGCCTCCCTTGGTTTCTTTCTTCAAGATCTAGAGCTTTTGCTGTTTTGTAGGTTCATGGTAACAAATCGTATAGGGAACTCATTAGGGGTCCTGATCTACGTCTTTGTTCTTAAGGAAGCCCGTAGCTCGGCAGCAGGTTGGTACAGGCGGAATGGGTTTGGACAGAAAGCTGCTGCTAATGGCTTCTGCAGTCAGATACTCAGAGGTGGCAACCTCCACCCTTGCCGTAGCCTGTTTGTCGCACAAATTGTACCGAAACGTTCCCAAAAAATCTGGGCTTTGTTCTTGAAGCAGGGAGGCTCGGACTGTTGCCAGGCCTTTAAAAGGCTTTATCGGAAAACACGTCGCCAAAAGCTGAACCTGCACCAGAAGGAAAAGAGGAGCTTTGGTCCTGCCTGCAACGATTCAGCATCACTTTTAGCCTCACTGAAATGAGTCTAAGTATGGTTATTATGATAATCACCCTGCTCCCAAAGGAGATTACATCTTAGTTATGTCTAAAGGCAAGGTAAACTGTTTACAAGAATTTTGTTCATAATATAAACTCAAGTGTTTCCTCCCATTTTTTAAGTTAAATTGGAGTCACAGGAGAGGGAAGCTTCACAGCAGGAAAAGTACTTGGTTAATGTCAGCGTGCGACTTCACAGCACTTTTGAAGCCTGCTTTGCTAGTTTGCATTTAGATAAGAATCTGACATCTGGTTTTCTGCCCCAGAATGATAGAAATCTCTTGTCAAGGGTGGGGGGGGAGTAAATATATTCCTTTGCTGGTAAGTGCTGACTCTTTCTATATTGTAAAGTAATTATTAGTGAGTTTAGCCTCTGAAAAATCCTGTAAAATCTTTTCTTCTCTTCTGTGAGAGAAATAGGGACACAGAGGTTAAACATTACATGGAGAGCGCGCTGTGGGGCAGTAAT